TGAAAAAAAATGTATGTGCACACACACACACACACACACACACACACACACACATATATATATATATATATATATATATATATATATATATACATGTGGTATACATGTGTAGTCTATATGTGCATTCATCTCCATGTGTATGCATGCATAGGGAAATATGTATACAGATGTGGGCAGGTGGAGGCCAGAGGTCAATGTCAAGTGCCTTCCTCTTTCTCCCCGCACCTTATATTTTGAGACAGTATCTCACTGAACAGGGAACTTGCTATTTAGGCTAAATGAACTCATTTAGCCAGCAAGTTCAGAGGATTTGCCCTTCTCTGCTCCCATCCCCATCCCAAGCACTGGGCAACTTCCATGCTTAGCTTTTATGTGGGTGACGGGGATCTGAACTCAGATCCTTGTGTTTGCACAGCAGGCACTTTACCCACTGAGTAATCCCCCCAGCCTCCTCACAAGTTCTAAAAATTAGGGCTATAATCCCACAAGACAGCAATCAACATGTTGACCAGGGTTGGGTTCTCATCTGGCTGTTTGCCCACTTACAGGAGCTAGGAACATGCAGCTCTCCTATGGCCCCAGAATGCATGGAATCTTCATTATCCAGTGTTAATAACAGAGAAAGACTCTAGCAAGAGTGATGGCATACCCCAAGATCCCATGCCTTTAACATATTGAATATAATCGAGATTTGGCAGATGCCCATTCTTAGGAAAAGGCTTTTATACATGTGCATGGTAAAGATGAAAGATGAAAGGCAAGGGGACATGTTTTGTGTTTGTGTGGGTTTTCGAGGAGACAGGGTTTCTCTATGTTAACAGCTCTGGCTGTCCTGGAACTCATTTTGTAGACCAGGCTAGCCTCAAACTCACAGAGATCCACCTGCCTCTGTCTCCCAAGTACTGGGATTAAAGGCATGCACCATGGGGGTGGGGGTGTGTGCAGGGAATGGACTCTTTCAAGTTTTCCCACTCATAATGATAAGGAATGTCCTTTTGTATATGCTTCTCTTATTGGTTGATGAATAAAACACTGTTGGGCCAATGGCAGTAAAAACAGTTGCCATGTAGCAGGCAAAAGAGTTGCAGGTCAGGCATTCACCAGTAAGCCAAGACCATGTGGAAATAAATAAATATATCAGTAGTTATGTGTTAATAATTAAGACAGAGCTGGCCAATAGAAGCCCTAGTCATCGGCCAACAGCATTATAATTAATATAAATCTCTGAGTGTTCATTTGGGACTGACACAGCTGTGGGACCAGGCTGGCAGGAGAGAGTGCTCAAAACACACAGCTGTTGTTCTAAGTTATGAACAGTTTTTAGCACCAATGAGGATTTTACTGGAAGAAGATGGACAAGATAGTCTTCTAATATAACCACCAGTTGCAGAATTTTTGAAGATCATTTGGTTTTACTTTGTCTCTTACTGGCTCTGAAGTCATTGGAAAAAAAGATGGGTTTTGTAGCAAATCTAATGCCCTGCATAGAGTTCCTTCAATACAAACTTGTGACACAATGAACTGACAGATTGCCCTAGGGATATATAGTGATTAATAAAACCATCCAAATCCCAGCAATGTTTTTCTACTTACTTATCATTCACATAGTGTCATCTTTCTCTCGGGAGTCTTACAGAAGACCTGGTACTGCCCCACCCATCTCAACCCTTGAATGGATAGATACTCTTAGAATACATGCACACAAACCACAGCTCTAGTAAACATTCCTACTTAGGGGGTGATGTTTTAGTTGAAGTCCCTTTGTGAAGGATAAACTTCTGTGAGGCCCAAGTTTCTCAAACATTAACCTACAGGAAGGGTGTTATAGGTGTGTTACAAATATCTCCCAAAGGCTTGTGTGTTTGACCGGAAGCCTGTGTCACTTTTCAGGGGAATCTATAGAGGTGGGGACCAGCAGGAGAAGTAGGGCAGTTGGGATGTACCATTTAGAGATGCTAGAACTTCAGCAATTCTCTTTTCTTCCCTCTCCCCTCCTCCTCCTCTTCCCTTCCCCCACTTCTCTCCTGGCTGTCATGAGGTAAGCAGTCCCCCTCAGCCCCATACTTATGAAACCTTGAAAATGTGATCCAAAATAAGCCTTTCCTACTTCAGGTTGTCTGCTAGGTATTTTGTCACAGTGATGGAAAGCTGACTAACACAAAGGGAAATGACTTGGAGATA